GTCATGAAGGCATTGTGTCTGGAGGAGGGGGTGAGGACCTGAGCCGGGAGCCTGGAGGAGAGGGGCCCCGAATGGATGGGACCTGTAGGGAGACATTCAATCAGAACAAGAGGGTCTAATTCACAAAGGCAGGTCTGTTCTCATTGCTGAAGGGCCTTCTCAGCAACCAGAGAAAAGCGTATCCTCAGAGTCAGGAAGCTCCGGACATTCAGAGGGTTCTGCCTGGAAGACCCCTCTGAAGTCAGGAGAAAAGGCAGTCGGTGGTCTCAGAAACCAAGTCGTCCCTATACAATGAACTCAGCCACGTATCAACACATGATGGGGGAGAGCAAGCTTACAGGTGTCAGCATGCAAGCTTATAGGTTCCAATAGCACCACAGGCCGGAAGGGCCTTGCAACACAGGGGCAAAGGCTTAGTCAGTCGCGTGAAAGTCAGACGCAGAAAACAGGTTGAGCCACGTAAATGGCACTCACATATCCCGATGATGAATGGCGGGGAAAGAAGCAAAGTCTGCTTGAATCAAACAAGAGAAGGGGATCCCAAAGAGTCCATGTGACCACAGCAGTCAGACAGAGACTGGGATTCGCTGAGGTGTGTTCACTCACTCACCCACCAACCCTCCCCAGTGGAATTCCCACACAATGCGAGGCACTTTCTCCAGAGCTGTGTGTATTTGCTTTGACAGCACGGGACTGATGCCTCAGGCTTTGTGATGGTTGAGATGTTAACGTCATCTGGGGAGATGGAGCCACAAGGTTTGTGTCTTGTGTAAAAGATAGCATTGGAATTGTATGTAGTTCATCGAGATTCCCCAATGTGACCAGTCAGCCTCTCAGAGCCTGATCAATCTGACAGAGTTGATAAAACAGTGTTTAGAAAGACAAAGCTAAGGATGGCAGCTAAGCCCCATTTCCCCTCTGAATTTCTTTCAACTTTCTCAGAAGTCCCTTCCAGGTCCCAGGGGTGTGACTTCCAAGGGACCCACCAGCTCAGAGAGACGGGCTGAAAGACTCAGGCATGGGAATCAGGTCACATGGAGAGCAAACTTGTTTCATTATTATGGACATTCTCTTTCCCTAAGGGAAAATGTAGGCATAATTCCTAGTGAATACCGAGTGGGTGGGCCAACACAAACCTGATTTTTGCTTTTTTTTTTTCTTTGAAAGAGCAATTGTGTTTTGTTGACTATATTGCTGAATTTTTGTATTTTTTAAAAAAGTATATAATTGTGTTTTATAAATCTTTTCTATAATTTCCTTCAAAATTACATGAAAAATATTAGGACAATTTATAACACTGGTGTACATGGCAAATGATTTGTTTTGTCTAGGTTAGTGGTCCTTAACAAAGGCTTTTTCTTACTTGGAGAAGAATTTCTTGAATTTTCCACTGATTGGAAATGGTTGTGTTCAACCTGGATTCTTGAAACTGAGAACTTTTCATGTTTATGGAGAAGATTGAGCACACAGAGAAACAGGCAGCAACCTCTTTTTAATTTTAAAAATTTTTTTATTTATTTGTTTTTTAAAAATATTTTTTATTGATTTTTTTACAGAGAGGAAGAGAGAGGGATAGTTAGAAACATCGATGAGAGAGAAACATCAATCAACTGCCTCCTGCACACCCCCCACTGGGGATGTGCCTGCAACCAAGGTACATGCCCTTGACTGGAATCGAACCTGGGACCTTTCAGTTCGCAGGCCGATGCTCTATCCACTGAGCCAAACCGGTTTCAGCTCTCTCTCTTTTTTAAACTGATTGAGAGAGAAAGAAAGAGAGAGAGAGAGAGAGAGAGAGAGAGAGAGAGAGAGAGAGAGAGAGATGGATAGGCAGAAATATTGATGAGAGAAGCATGGATTGGTTGCCTTCGACACACCCCCTACTGGTGACTGAGCCTGAAACCCAGGCATGTGCCTTGATGGGGAATTAAAACCAGTGAGTGAACTCTTGGTTCATGGGTAGACACAACCACTGAGCCACAGTGGCGCAGGCAACGCATCTTCCTTGGGGCTTATGTTATCTCATCATCCTTTTGACTTATTTGGCTGGCTCCCCACCCCTCAGGTTTACCAGCTCAGTCCAGTTGTCTCCCCAAACTAATTCCAATAACCAACCACAAACCTACCTCCTTCCTGTAACGACATCCACTGGCAGCTCCACCTCTGACTTCTGCCCTTGCCACTTGAGAAGGCCACGCTCAAACCACCAAATCCAATAGGCATTATATTCAATCCTTATCTGTTTTTTGGATCTCTCAGGGTTCCTCATCTTTCCCCCATAAATCTGGTTCTTTCTTTGGCTTCTTAACACTTCACATTTTCCTGAGTAATCTACCTCCTTTTCTTCCTCTCCTGTGGAATGTGGGCAGCTGGTTCTCCGCTCCTGGTTACCTCCCCGGATGCTGGAGGCTTCCGTGAGCTGCCCAGCTGCACTTCTTCTCAGGGGTAATGGCTGCCAAACCTCCTGCCCCCCCCCCCCCCCCCCCCCCCCCCCCCCGTGGTCTGCTCAACCTCTCATTTCTAATTGTCAGCTTGTCAATGCCTCCGGAGGATGGCTTTTAAAACCCAGCCCAGGCAAAGCCAAACCTATCATCTCGTTCCTTGCGGTAGATCTTTTCTGATTGTTTGCCCATGGCTAAATGGATTCGCCACCATCCTTTGGAAACCGACCCCAATCCACAGGGGACACTGCTGAAAGCCAGCTTGACTTCTTGATCACAGTTGATTGCCACAGGGACAGGCACCTGCCTGAGGCTGAGCCACTCAGCCTCTCCTAGTCGGGAAGTGAGAGAGACAAAGACCTGGGATCATTGTAAACGGGTGCTGTGCAGGGAAAGGCCCACGGATCCCCGTGCAGGGATCCCTTAGAACTGCCCCAGTTCCCAAGCTCTCTGGTCGTTCAACTGTTCCATGGACTCATGAGATATTCTAGAAAACATCTAGTGAGGCCCCTCTTTTGGCAAAGCTTGCTTGAGTTGGTTTTTGCTACTAACAGACCTTTAAGTAACAGAACCACCTACACTTCTCCAGGAACCTCTAATTCTGTCAGGGCCCTGCCACGCCCTTCCCAGCCAGGCACGAAACTTGACTCTGCCCTGGCTTTTCCTGAGGCCCACATTCAGACTGCTCAAGCCTGCCAGCTTCATCTCCTCAACAAGTCCCCTCCTCTCCACGTCCTGGAGTATTGCCCTAGGTCCAGGCCTGTGGTCTGTTCGCTGGGAGAGTCCAGCCTCCATAGGCTCCAGTGGGAGGTTGATTCAGAGCACACGGCTTCTCTAAAACCCAAAGGCTGTCTTATGGCTCTCACCACAGCAGAACCACCCGTCTCCTCCTGGCTCCAGGGCCACAGGCTTACCTCCTGCTGTTTCTACTGATGGTGCGAGTCAGGCCTGATGAGCAGACGAATTAAACAGCCCCCATCTTCACTTCCTCTATAATTCCCGTACTTTTTTTTTTAAATAAATCTTTATTGTTCAGATTACAAATGTTCCTTCCCCCCCCCCCTCCATTGCTCCTTTCCACCAGGTTCCCACCCCACCCTCTGCCCTTTCCCAACCCCCCATTGTCCTCATCCATAGGTACAGTTTTTGTTGTCTCTTTCCCACGCCCCTCACTCCCCTTTTCCCCGAGAATCATAAGTCCACTTCCCTTCCATACCTCTGATTCTATTATATTCACTAGTTAATATTGTTCATCAGATTTAATTCCCTTGGTTTTTAGTTTCACTTGATAGTTACGTATTTGTTGTTCATAATTTTTATCTTTATCTTCTTCCTCTTCCTAAAGAACCCCTGATTCCCATACTTCTGGTCCCTTTGACCTTGGGCCCTGGTAAAATCTTATTTTTTTTTTAAAGGTCTATCTCAGGCCCTTTCCTCTCTCTTTGGGAGAACCTCTCCCTGCTCCCTCTGGGACTGGAGATCCCTGGCCATGTTTTAAGTTCACATTCATCTCCCCTTCCAGATGGGGAGGCATGGGCTCCCTTTAATTCCTGGCACCACCGTAGATCAGAAGTGGATGTTGAGTGAATTTGTTCATACACTGTCAGATGTTCACCAGGATAGGAAAAGGCCTGAGAGAACAGCCAAAGCCAAGGTATTTCCTTCTGCCCTCGCTTCCTGTGCTTTTAGCCAAAATCAGGGGATTGGAGTGGCGGGGACGGGGGGTGGGTGTTGAGTGGATGAATTAGAATGTGACCCAGACTTCCAGGCATCAGTGATTGGAAAGCAGGACGCTCCTGAAGTTGTTTTTGATTCCAGGAAGAACACATTCATGTGGCTTTTGCATTTAAAATTCATTTCTCTATACATTACCTGGCTTACTAGGTGCTGCAACCTGGTGAAGCAGTCAAAGTTTATGGAGGCCAGTTTGTAGGTGAGGGACCATCCAGGTCAGGAGGCATCAACAAGGTCACACTCATAAAGGACCGGCCTTCTCACCTCAGAACCAGATGCTTTCCCTCTGCGACACAGACACTGTTGCCTGCCTCTCCAGGGGCAGAGTTAAAACACCACCAAACAAAATAACACCATTCAGTTATTTTATAGTATGCCATAAAAAAAAAAGAGGGACACATGTCTATTGACAATTTAAATATCAAACAGGCTAATTAGCTGAAACCAGTTTGGCTCAGTAGATAGAGTGTCAGCCTGCGGACTGAAAGTGGCCAGGTTTGATTCCAATCAAGGGCATGTACCTTGGCTGTGAGCACATCCCCAGTAGGGGGTGTGCAAGAGGCAGCTGATCGATGATTCTCTGTCATTGATGTTTATAACTCTCTATCCCTCTCTCTTCCTCTCTGTAAAAAAATCAATAAAATATATTAAAACACAAAACAGGCTATTCATGGAAGTGGGAATAGGTGTGTGTGGGTAATCTGCTTCTAAATCATGTCACATTTCCCCCACCCTTGTTGCCAGACACAACAGCTAGGCAGGTTAATCCCCAGTACTAAAGGTTATCCTATTTCCAAAAATAGATACCGCCCCCAAACACTTTGATTTGATGGCAAAATACTTTAATTTCTCATAAAGCCATTTCCCCCACCCCATGACTTGACATGGAAAAGAATCTGCATGCGTGTGTCGTGGCTGAGCAGGAGGATGACGTGTGCATGTACATATATGCAAACACGTACAGGTTTATTTAATGGATCCGATCTACACTTCCGGAGGCTATTTGAAGCATCTTATCAAAAGGAAACACATGTAAGCAGGAGGTTAAAAAAGCTTTCAGACCCAACCCACATCCAACAGATCGGTCAGTATCGGATACACAGATTTGGTTCCAAAGCTGAAATAGACCATCTCACAAAATTCAGTTATTTTATAGTATGCCATAAAAAAAAGAGGGACACATGTCTATTGACAATTTAAATATTAACTCAACAGGCTACCTGGTGATATAAATAGGAAAAAAAGTGGTCATGAACTAGGAGTGTGAAACTATGACAACAGCCTCTCTTGGACTGCAAAGGATGTTAAAAACAAAAAACAAAAAACCTATCCTAGAATCTAAAACAGGAAAACAAGTCAAATATTCCACTCCATATAGACCCCATCAGGCCCACATCATCCCCCCAAGGAGTATACCCCCAACACATGAGGTTTACTAAACCACCTGCTACAGATGTTACTACATCACTAATTAATAATGATCACAGAAAATGTGTCATACCAGAGGTTTTGTTATCATACACAATGCGTTAGTGGCTGTGGAATCTCTCCCCAACAGCTCTGGTCGGAAGGCAAACTGGTCCACGCCACTGGTCCAAGAAACCACAGCTAAGACACAGGAGCAGTGGAGGGTTGGTTCGCACAGTGAGCTCTCGCTGGCATGAGCCATACTCCAGTCAGAAGGGCTGGGATGTGGGGAACAGTCCCAGCCAGGTGCTGCGGCCACCTATTCCTGGGCCTCCTTGCGGGTTAACTTGTAGATCTCGGTGGGTCCGTCCACGTGGGTGATAGTGGTGGTGAGCTGGAGCTCTTCCCCGTTGTGGACCCTCAGATCACCTGAAACAGGGGTTTTGGGGTGAGATGCATTAGAGGAGGAAGAAGAAAGCTGGGTTCATCTCCGTAGCCAACACCCTTTCACTTTCTGAAGCTGACAGTGAAAACCTGGGCACAAACACCAGGGCTCACGCCCAACCTTTTCACTCAAACTTGGCAATAATTTCATCCACTTTTATCTCCCAGAGAGGAGAGATTAATGAGAGATGAGTCAGCTTACTGCTTATGTAATTTGTAATCATTACTAACATTTAATGAGAGCTTCCTTGGTGCCTGACGCTGTTCGCAGTGCTTTATCCTTGATCGTATTTATCCTCACAAGAGCCCTCCAAGTTGATCATGCCAGCGTTACAGATGAGGAAACTGGGGTGGATGAGACTGCCCCAGGTGACAGACAGACAGACAGACAGACACGCAGCAGAGCTGGGAGCTGGGCTGAGGAAGGGAGTTGGTGCTGTGGGCTAAGCCTTCCTGGGATGGGAAGGCAGACATAGGCACCCTCGTTGTGAGTCATTTACAAAAGTGGCTGTGCCAGGTACAGGCAAACAAGACTTGCCTGTTACCAGCCGATTGGGCAGGGTACTACGTACAATACTTTTAATAACAATTAGGAGTTTTCTTCTCAAGGAAAAATGACCAGAAATACACTGAACTTTCTGCTATCCCCAGGATTCTGTACACAGCACCAGTGTTTTGGTCACCCCACCCAGTGGCCCTGCAGGGTGCTTGGTCAAAGCAAGTGCTTAATTTGCATATCTGGGAGAGCCATCAAAAGTTCAAAGCCAGTTTCAGGATCTGCATGACTGAGTGTCCTCAGCATTTCGGAGTCCTGACCACCCCAGGAAACTCTTAGCACCTCCAAGTGTTTACCTAAGGAATCCCTTTCATTGAAGACTTCTTAGAAATAGATGCCAGGATGTAATTTTCTTCAGGTTTTGAACCAAAGATGGGAATTCTTTAAGCTTAAAATGTGATTCCAATTGGCAGGCCCTAGAAAATGTGTCTGATCCTACAGATCATTTGAAGAAACAGCCAAAATTACTTGGGCTTCCTTATTTCACAGGTACCTATCTTACAGGTTGTGCCTGACACTGTCCGAAACACTGCACAAATATTAATACATTTAATCTTCGTACCAGTCCTTTGACAGAGGTGCTGTTGTCATCATTCCCATTCTGCTGATGAAGAAACTGAGGCACAGGCTGGCTAAGCACCTTGCCCATGGCACAAGTTGATACACAAAGATTCAAAGGGGGAGCTATGAGACTCCAGCATCCAAGTTCTTAACCTTTAGGCTCTGCTGACACTGGTCAACATTAAAGTTCCCAACAGCCAGTGAGACTGCCAGCAAAGCATACATTCGCATGCAATATGTTACAGTTATATAAATACATATACACAGTAATTTGGATTAATTGTTCAGGATGTTAATTTTGCTCTTTTGTGTCTGATGAAAGAGAATTTATAGCACAAAATATCAGTGCACTGTCAGTACAGAGAGCTGTTACATATGAGCATTTACCATATGCACCAGTAGGGGCTTAATGTGCCCCAGGTTTCCTTATAAGATGTGAAGACACTGAGGCTCAGGTAGGCAATTCATTTCTCTATGGGATGCAGCCTGCTCCCAGCAGAACTAGGATGAGGAACAGATCTATGCATCTCTGGCTAGTGAATCTCTGATTCACCTGTGGCTATATTGTACCTTGAAGGCCAACTCTTTCTCTGCAGGAAAGGATGTGAGAAGGTGGCAAGTAACATGGTAGAAGTGGGGATCCCTCCATTTGTCTCCAAATTTCAGGGACCCTCACTCCTGCCAAGGTCTCACTCCATCTGTTCTTCTCCCTCTCTTGGCTTCTCCTGCACCATGCACAAACACACTTAAAGATTCTTCCCTTTCAACAACAACCACCACCAAAAAAAAAAACCTTCAAAAAATGTGATGTGTTTCTTACTGAGGGGGAGAGAAAAAATAAATGATGGAAAGAAAAGAATGATGGAAGGAAAATAATTCTTTGGTTTGCAATAAGTCTCTTTCTCTGCTTAAAGGTCAATTCATTTCAGCTAATTAATAAGACAAAAGCTTTCTAACCACTATGGAACGAGAGTGATCTTTGGCACAGGATTTAATCTCAAAGGACTATGATGGGTTCATATTTTTGGTATCATGGCCAGAGGTGGCTGCTGCTTGATTCTAACTGCCTGAAATACTTACTATGGGCCCAGAAACCTACATGAATGGAACTATAATGACATAATGGTAAGTACAGCTTTTAAAGACAGGCAGCTTGTTAAAAATAACAATTATTTGTATATCTGTGACTACTTCAGTAAAAAGAAGAATAATTCTAAGATTGTTTCACAGAATCTGGAAGAGATCAGTGGTCTTCTAATACTAATAAAGGGTAACTAATTCTTTCCTCATAGCCACTAAGACAAACTAACACCCCATTACCCAAACATGGCAGATCAAGGAGGACACACCCTAAGCTCCTGTTTATTTTTTGAGGACCAGGATTCCAATCCATCTGTGGCCACATCCAAAACTTTTGTTGTTTCTGTAACATTACTTACTTATTACATTTCTGTAACATTCTGTAACATTCTTTTCTGTGGGCTTTTTTTCCTAGTCCCTCACTGACTTCCTTCTATTCACCTTCAAAGCTAAGTTATCAAATGATAACTCTCTAGAAGTCTCTGGTTCACAGCAGGATGAGAAAATCAATTTGTAAAACAAAATTATTTTCATGCACATGACTGTTGTTTATTCTCAGATTATGTCCTTTCCTATATGTTGCGTGTTAATAAAATAATGGATGGTAGGTCTTAAAATTCTTTTTTCGCCAAAACCGGTTTGGCTCAGTGGATAGAGCTTTGGCCTGCGGACTGAAAGGTCCCAGGTTCGATTCCGGTCAAGGGCATGTACTGGGGATGTGCAAGAGGCAGCTGATCGATGATTCTCTCTCATTGATGTTTCTAACTCTCTGTCCCTCTCAATTCCTCTCTGTGTAAAATCAATAAAATATATAAAAAAATAAATAAATAAAATTAAAACCACCACCAAGATTTGTCTGGTACAGTCCAGTCTAGCACCTCCCTGCTCTGCTTGAATGGCTAGGTCAAGTAAACAGGTATACCTTGGGAAGACTCTACTTTGTGATCCCTCTGGGGGGGTGAGGTGTAGTAGTCTTGGTGGGACAGGGCTCAGAATCCTGGGTCCAGCCATCTCTCAATCCCTTTCAACCATCAAACATAGGCTATACCATGCTTGGGGTGTGGTATTTCCTACCCACCTCCGGACACTCAACACCAGGCAACTGCAAGGAGGGGACACAATATAGTCTAGAAATTTTGAGTGAAATCCTTGTGTTGTGGGCTGACTTGTATTCCACAATACAATAACCATAATCATTTGTTGAAGCCCTAATTCTCCAATACCGGAGAATGTGATTGTATTCCGAGATAGGTTCTTTAAGGAGGTAATTATGTTAATGTGAGGCATGGGGATGGGCCATAATCCAATATGGCCAGTGTCTTTATAAGAAAAGGAGATTAGGATAGAGACACACATCCAGGGAAGATCGTGTGAAGACACAGGGAGAAGACCTATACGCCAAGAGAAGCCCTGGGAGAAACAACCCTGCCGATAACTTGATCTTGAACTTCTAGCCTCCAGGATCATGAGGAAATAAATAGGTTTATGTTACTTAAGCCACCTAGACTGCCACATTTGTTATACCAGCTCTACCCAACTGATACCTTTAGGAAGCAGAAAGGTCCTCTCAAGCAAGTGACTGAGGTACCTTCTATCACAGAGGGGTGATAGTAATTCTAAGACTCAGAAAATGTGATTTTAGGTGCCTGGGTAAGGAAAGGTCAGGCCACTGGGAGGCAGAAGCTGGAGGGGCTGGAGATGGCCTGTCTGTCACCTCTTTCCCATCGTCACTAGGGAGTGGGAAGAGGCTGTTGAGGCCCATGTCAGAGTCTGAGTCCCGCCCTGGTGGGAAGACCGATTCCATCCAGACATCAAGAGGAAGGCGGGCTGGCCAGGGTGAGTCATCTAACAGGCAACCGGAGGAAAGACCTCAATAAAAGGCGGCCACTGTCGAAGCCTCATGACTCAAACCAAACATTTATGGAGGCAATGAAAGCCAAAGCCACCTTCCCTGTGAGCCCAGCAGCATGAGACCTTAGAAGCTTCCGGAAGTAAAACGGCCACAGCGAGGATAGAGGATAGCCAGCCACCAGGACCTTGGTTCCGGCAGCCTGAGTGTGTCAGAAAACATTCAGTGTGAGCAGAAATCGGAAGGAACCAGTGGGCAACTAGAGTGTCTCCTGGCCCCTTCATTGTCATCCAGTCAGGAATCTCGTTTCTCCTTTTTTTTTTTTTTTAAGCTTTCTGACAAGAATTCTCTAGACCACATGTGTCAAACACAAGGCCCGCGGGCCAAATCCGTCCCTCCAGGCCTTGCAATGTGGCCCGCACCGCGCTGTCATCACTGCACTCCGCTGCGTTTCCATCACAATGACAGTTTATGACTGTTCAGTAAACCATTCGGCCCGTGATTTAGGCTGGATATTAGATTTTGGCCCCTTCTCTGATTGAGTTCGACACCCCTACTCTAGACGAAAGAATACAAAAATGAAAGCGATTATCAAGAATTGTTGGACTTCATGAGCAGCACCAGCTTTTCCCCACATGAACTGGTGACAGGGCGTTGGGACGGTTGACTGTGAGTATAGGGGTTCCAAGTCGTCCCCCCCCCCCAACCCTCTGGGAGACTGTGCCCTCCCTCGGAGCTTATGGCTGACCAGCATCAGCTAAAATTTGTTTCTGCCTAGGAAGATATCCATAGTGATTCAGACTGATAGAGGAACAGGTAAAAAGAACAATTTTAATGAAAAGGCAGCAAGAGCAGAGCAGAAAACGTGAGTGGTCCTTGCAAGAAAGAGGTCTAAAATACCTTTGTTAAAGTAAAAAAAAAAAAAAAAAAAGCATATTTATATGTACATAAATATACACACATAGAATAATGATATAAACATATCCATGCACACAGGCGGGAACACATATGTAAAATCAGCCATGACTTACCACTGCACTGAGGTTAAGAGAGCCAACAGGAAGGAAGTCAGAGCTCCACATCCCTGCAGCACCCACCAGCCACGGAAGACATGAGAACACGCCAGCTGGGAGCTGTCCTGCCACAGCCCGTGTTTCAGGAGGCAGCCGTGGAAGTCCTGTCTCCCATCCCAAATGTCTAGCTCTCAGGGAACAAGGACTGTCTGTGGGCTTTACATCACTCCGCCTTATCCCACCTAGCACAGTGCTGAGTACTGAGGTGCTCAGTGGTTCATTTCCAAGGGCCACTGGACCCACACAAAAAAGGCAAACAAATAGACCTGACCATTTTGGCTCAGTGGATAGAGCGTCAGCCTGCAGACTGAAGGGCCCGGGTTTGATTCCCGTCAGGGGCATGTACCTTGGTTGCAGGCACGTCCCCAGTGGGAGGTATGCAAGAGGCAGCTGACTGATGTTTTTGACATTTTCCCACTCCCTTCTTCTCTGTAAAAAATTAATTACAAATATATGAGAGAAAATGCTCTTTAGAAACAGACCCTCGCTTGCACCTGCTATCCACTTTGTTCCTCTGTCCATTCCTTGACCAAAACAGAGACACAAACGTCTATGTTCTCTGCTCCCACTTCCTCCTGATACTTATTGGCATCTTTCTCCATCTTGCAAACAAAACAGCACTTCTGAACGTTTTTTTCTTTTTCCAGAGGTCTATCCAGCATCCATCTCATGAAGACAAGCAGCATGGCACACCTGTGATTCATTCTCCACAGCAAGAGAGATCTGAAGTTTTGGCTCTGGACCATAAAAGCAAAGGGCAGGGAGAGCAGTCCAAGCCAATTTAAAAATAAAAACTTTCCAAGAGAAAGGAAAAGGAGCATGAATAAGCTAGGGTGAGGGGGAGAAGAAATACCATCCAGAGAATTTAAAACTACAGTATATCACCCTAAGAATTCATTTTCTAGGTTTCCATGCAATATTCCAAACTAGCTCTTTCAAAGGAGCTCCAAAATCTTGGCAAAGACACCATAATTCCTAGGCCACAGTGTGTGGTTTGGCGGCAGATGAAGAGATGAAAAGTGAAAGGAGCAGAGAAGAAAAATGATCAGAGAACCCAACATGGAGAGCCCCTTCCAAAGGCTCAGCTCACAGCACCATGCGAGAATAGAGTGCCACCAGCTGTCAGGGGCACAGTCACAGCACCATTTGGGACAAGGAGGCTATCAGCTGCCAGGGGCTCATGGGCTGTTCTGAAGTCACAGTTGATCATGTCATCACCACGACCTTCTAAATGGTACCTCTTTTGTGTTTATGATCAAATGGGGTCCCAAAAGGGTCTGCCCACTAAGCCGTTTGGAGGATGTTTTTCAATAGGGGCCCTATTGCATTAGAGGCAAGACAGTTCTTTACTCAACAAACTCCTTTGCTCAATGCAGGACATTGAACATACCTAGAATCCGGTCACTCAATGCCAGTGGCGTATATGTACCAGTCACAGTGACAATCTAAAACAACCATGAACATTTCCAAACACCACTTGGGAAAAGATTCAGGGGAGGTACTTTCCTCTTTTTTTTAATTGATTTTAGAAAGAGTTGGGGAGAGAAAGAGAGCAATTTTGATTTGTGTTCCACTTATCTATGCATTCATTGGTTGATTCTTGTATGTGCCCTGAGCAGAGATTGAACCCACAACCTTGGCGTATCTGGAGGATACTCTAACCAACTGAGCTACTCAGCCAAGGATAAGAACAAGCTTTTGAGCTTTCTGTGAAATTGCAGTTCAAGCTGTCTTCAACAACAACGAACATACGATGAGAAAAAGATCTAGTGCTATTCTCAACTGCACGGTTGCAAGCCCAGCAGAGCAGCAGTCATGCAGGGAAAGAAGTCCTACTGGGAGCTGCCTAACACCTGGCTGCAGTTCAGCCATCTGGCCCTGCAGGTGGCAGGCAGTCATGCTGTCCCTACAGGGGTGGCTCCAGCTCTGGCCTCCCACGTGCCTGCGAGTGCCAGAGCTGGGCCAAGTCTCACCAGTGTTTGGAGATCCCTTACCTGTGACAGAATCCCGCCCTGGGCTGTGACTTTATGGCAGGAGGTGCTCTTCTGCCCCTTCCTTGCTATCAGGAAGAAAGAAAACCACAGGATTTCGTGGTTCTACAATACTCTGGGAGATCACTTACAATCGGGAGAAGTGATGCACAGGGGAGTGAAGCAGCTTGCCAGCAGGCATAGAGCACAAACAACCAGAGTAGTGTGTGTACATGAAGCACAGGTCAGCACGCAGTAATTCCCACTCATTCGAATGATCGTTCCAACACCCTGGGAAGTCCAGCCATTGCTTTTATGTGGAATTCCCCTTGAAGGCTGGAGCTCCATCTTTTACATTTCTGCTTAATAATCTCAAGTCAAGAACAGGTCCATGTGATTTGTGTCAAAGTCCAAGAGGGTGTCCATGAAATGAAATCAAGGTTCTTCTTCACAAGTCCATAATGCCTTCCTGCGGGTGCTGTGGAAGCCCCTGTTGGAGAGGCTGCATGCTTCCACAGGCCATGCACAGAGTCAAACAGACTTGCTCGCAATGGAAAGGAAGGTATGGGAAGTGAATGCTGCCTAGCTCACAAGCTTTCTGAGAAAGGAAGTCAGTCAAACCCAGAGTTGGGCAGCTGGGCAGGCAAGTCAAAAAATACTGATGAACCAAACAGAACCAGAGGCATGGATTCATGGCACAGACTTGACGAATGTCAAAGGGGAGGGGCGTGGAAGGGTGTGGGTAAAAGAAGGTGAAGAGATTAGCCGAAGAACACATATGCATATCCCATGGACACAGACAACAGTGCGGTAAAGACTAGGAGAGGGTGATGGGCAGGAGCTGGGTAGAGGTGGGCGAGGAGAAAAATGGGGGACACATCTCTAATAGTGACAACAATATTTTAAAAAGTCTTTATTCTTGCCCAGGACCTATGGCCAAAGGTAAACCTGAAACTGAGTGTGACATGAAGTCGAGGACCAGGAAGGAAGGCAGGCCTGAGGTTTAGGACGCTCTGGCACAGAGTGGCAGGTAAAGTGCCAGAGACAGATGCTGGTGGAGACCATTCCTCTACCGCTGACCCTCAGCACAAAGGTCTCCTCTCCTCGCCCCATTTCTCATGTCACCATCCACCTCCTTTAACCCCACTTTCAAGATGGCTCATCTTTGAAATACGAAAGATAATCTAGAACTCTTTTTTTTAAAAATCTAAAACTCTTATTTCTAAAGCATTAATTCACTCAACATTTTCAAAGCACCCTTAATCATCAGTCTTCGCCCTTAAGGAGTTAGTGTTTCAACAGGAGTGGGAAGGGACAGGCGAGCTCATGCACAGCTGCACAGTGCGTGTCGTGTGAGAAGCATAACCTTGTTCCCCCAGGCCTCTTCCCTGGGACGCCGGTTCCGGAAGATACACTGCCTAGAATAAGAGTTCCAGGACCAAATGATGTCATCACTTGGGGAAATGCTGTCTCTCTCCCTTCCCTCCCCCTTCCCGCCCATTTTAAATGACTTACAGTACATATTAATGTGCTAAAGGCATTAAGATATCTTTTAGCAAAAACCCCATTGATGCTGATTAAAAACCCAATGATTTTCAAACGTATTTGTCTATTAACATCCCACGGCGATAATATTCTACTGAATCTAATTTGCTGAACTCCAACTGGTGTGATCAGGAAAAGGTTTCAAGAGGGAAGAAGCATTTTGAATGAGCCCAAGAGACAGGAAGGGTTTTATTACACCCAGATGAAGAGACAGGATATAAATCTATTCATTTACCACACACTCACTGAGAACTTCCTGTGAGCAAGGCCAACCCCTGGTGCCATGGTGGACAGGCAGACCTTGAACCCTGGTCTGTGCTCTGTGAGAGAGTGAAGGGCACTGGCTCTGATTTGAGGAAGAACATCTTATATTTGGGGAATAGTAAGTATGTGGCTTGGGTAAAGCAAGTGTGAAAAAGAGATGAAAGAATAAGGGTGGACCGAAACAGTATAGAATCAAGCATCCAAAGAAAAATGAGCTATCAGAACAGAAGATTACCAGGCCACCAATTCCAAGTTAACAGCTCTGCCATGGATAGTAATATTCATTTCTTCCTGCCGTGGCTGGTAAGTAAGGAAAGGCAAGCCCTTCCCTTCTATGGGCCTCAGTTTCCTCATCTATAAAATGGCCAGACTGGCTATGTTTTCTAAGGCTCTTGCAGCATCAACATCTGAGACAGCAACACCAGCACTTAAGGAGAGACAGGCTGTGGGGACTGGTGAGTAGCTATTAGTCTGGACACAAGTCAACAGCCTTGCAGAAAAAGTGAGCAAGAGATAAATGAAGCCAGCTCCCTCTTCAACTCCCAGGGCCCAGTCCCACTCCACCAGATATCTTAGGACCACACTTCTCATACTAGAAGAATGAATGTGGTATACTTTTCAACAGTCCATTTTTGAAAATAAATAAATAAATAAATATAAAATAATTAAGGAAAGCAAATTTAATTTTTGTACTAACACTGGGACATGTTTTAGACTAGAATGTAATATTCCCAATGTATTTTCAAGGTATTTTTTAAAATGAGAACTTAAAGAAGTATCTGCCCTGTGCTGGCTTTTTGTCGTATGGTTCTGCAATCCTTAGGTTGCTCACTCACACTTGGAGGAAAAGTGTGGGAAACCCAGAGGCTCTGCTAGCCTTAAGTCATGTAGAGACAGAAGCCTACTTATCCTAAGTAAAATTATACTAAAGAGACTAGTGCTCACCATTAGATTGGTCATCCCCATAGTTCTTATGGGATGGTGCGTACAGGAACATCAAAGCAAAGACGTACAGATTCCACATCCCATAGATGCCTGTGAAAAAGGCACTGTTCACCTGGACTGTGACACCACCCCACTTCCAATGGCCTTCAGTCACCTGTGGAGAGAAGACAAGGGTATGGGATTAGAGCTGAGAAGAAACACAACACCAACCCAGGAACCAATCAACACAGACACCAAGTCTCTTCAAGATGTGGGAAAAGTGTAGGGCGATGTAGGACTCCAGTTTTTAATCTGAATCATACTCTGAACAGATTAATTAAGGGCTTACTATATGTGTCAGACACAAAGTCTGCTTGTCATTTGGCTGCACACCAGAATCACCTGGGAAGTGTCTCTTCCTAAAACAGCAGCACACCAATTTAAAGAAACTATGATTGGGCTTAACCCTTATCCACAAATACCACTCTTCCTCTGGTATGTCTTCCCAGCTCGCTGTAAACTGCCCACAGACAGAGGCCAGCTCTGGTTCTTATTTCCATATCTTCTCTGTGCCTTGGGGCTCAGAGAAGGCAAGTGAGTCTTCAGAGGAAAGAGTTTTCCCCAGAGGGGCGGTGAGGGGAAGCATAAAGACACAGTCAGAGATCTGGATCCAAATTCAGCCTCCACCTCATACTCTGTTTAATATGAGAGAAGTAAAGACTAAGACTCTGGACTTTAGTCTCCATCAGTACAAAAGAAGAACTTGCGGGGTTATTGAGGAGAATTAAGTAAAAATATTTCTAGAAATTTCCTGGCATGCAGTAAACACTCAATAAATCTTTTTTTATATCGTCTCTCTCTTTGTAGGTCACTCATAAAAGTAATTATGAGCTTTCATGTGCTTTATAATCCTGCAAGAATGTTTTGAGGCTGCTTTTGTCTATGTTAATGACTTGGTAATTATTTTAAGAGCTGTCTGATGACATATGGGTTATACTAAGAATTGTCAACAGAACTGTTGAGGTGAATGACTGGTCATTTGTGAGATCAATGAAATGATTTTGACCACTTCTGCCTGCCACAGGAAATCTTACATAGGAGTAAAAGAAAGTATTGGACATATATTCTTGTGAATTTAATGAGGTGAGATTATATAAACTATCCCTAAGAGCTAATACTTTTTCTAAGAGCTAAAGTGTAAGAGGGCAAGTCATATCTAAATATTAATGACTAACAAACAGGTTAATTTCACCTCCTGTTTTTGAAGCAGTGGGTCTATATTCCTTTGGTACCCTCTTTATAATCCATAATCCACTAGGGCCTCAGGCATAATACAGCTGTAATGACAGGTATTTCTTCCTGAAAGACCTGGCGTGTCAACTAACCAGATTAAGTGATTATAGACTTTACCAGTTTTTTTTTTTCATTTTTATTCTTTTAATCTATTTTATTGATTTTTTACCGAGAGGAAGGGAGAGGAATAGAGAGTTAGAAACATTGATCAGCTGCCTCCTGCACACCCTCTACCAAGGATATGCCTGCAGCTAAGATACATGCCCTTGACCAGAATCAAACCTGGGACCGCTCAGTCTGATGCTCTATCCACTGAGCCAAACTGGTTAGGGTGACTTTACCAGTTTTAATTTGACACTGGTGACACATATATTTTCTTCTTCTTCATTTCTGTGACTCATAAACAAACCACCACCATGAATTCTTATTTACTTAGGGGAAATAATTCACTTTATATGACATGCTCAGGAAGGTTTTGGCCAAAGAAGGATTTCTTACCCATTACTGATTTTTGAGCAATGCACCAACATTCAAGCTATTTAGGGCTTACTTTGTAGAAAAGTCTCCAAATGTCACTTTTTCTTATTTTTAAGTACAGAATAGCCTAATGTTATAAGAATCACAGTACTTAGAGCATACTTAAGATAATTTTTTTAATGGAAGGGGAGAGAAAGCCTTAAGATGGTTTCTGGAACCATGTAGCAGATGCCATATGTACTAGTACCCGCTGTCCTTGCAAAGGGAGCTCCTCTCTATGCAATTTAGGAGGGGCGGCTAGGCTGGGAGAAGTACAGGTAAAACAGGGTCAAACACTTCTTATCTTCTTCTACTCTATTAAGATAGGGGACCTGTAAGAGACCCTACTTCCTGTGATATAAACTAGAAATAGGACTGACAATTTTGCTGAACTTGATTCTTGCTGGGGGCGGCATCACAGATTTAAGAAAACACCTGCTTGTATGCCTGGTACACTATGGTGCTCAACAGACAGATGTGTGTTGAATGAATATGGGCAAAAGCATAAGGATGTGCAGAAGGCCAGTGCAGATAGGTACATGGAAAGGGGGGATAGAAACAGTCACGCTTAGGAAATAACTGACTGAAGAGTCAGAAGAAAATACCACAGTCCTTTGCAAATCCCAATAATTGCACTTAAAAGTAAGAGGTCAATAGGTAATAAGTGTTATTTCATTGAACTATTTTATGCCTATTGCATTCTTTTATGTCAATTTTAAAAAATAGTGAATAGGTATTAGCAAAGCTAAGATTTAAAAAAATAATAGCAAGAACAATAATAGTTAACATTTATTTAATGCTAATGGTTTGTCAGAAAGTACACTAGTAAGAGTTTTACATGGAAGGTATTAGTTTCAATAACAAATCTATGAAGTAGGTAGTTAAAATTTCCATTCAACATGTGAGTAAACTGTGACACAGAATGTCTTGCCTAAGACTGCTCAGCTAGAAAGTCGTGGCTCTGACTACAAAAGAAGATCTACTTAACCATTATACAACACATGAGTAGGAATATTATCTTAAACCAAGGAGGGTCTCTTAGGCTAAATTATGAGGCAACTATTGTGTAAGGTCAAATTTCTTTTCAAAATTCATTGAATTGGCCATGATGCACATTGGTTAATTAGTATATCTATATGTAGGTGTGTTTATTCAAATCTGTACAGTAATACATAAGCACTATATATTCTAGATATAATGCATGGCACATAATAAATTGGATATATATATGAAAAATACAATTTTATAGCAGAACCACTCCAATGACATGCTCATCCTCGAGGGGCCCACAGGAGCTGAGGCTGAGGAAATAGCATTTTCATGCCCAACTCTCATGTTTGCTTCGAGACACATGCACGTCTAGATAGAGATGCAGAATTACCCAGACTACTTAATGTGTAATCTCTAAATGTGTTATTTCCTGCTGAGGGCAAAGAATTGAATTTGCATAAATAAATTGTATACAGTGTCACTCTGCTGTTGGGGACTCGATTGTGTTTTCCCCTCTCCCCCCTCAACTATTCAAGACGGAGCCATCCTGGGCTCTGAGCACGTTCCCACCACCATGCACCACAATCAGCAGCCTCAACAGAGCAGCCTTGTAAATCCAAAAATCTCATTAATGCCAAAGCAGAGAGGTGGCAGTCACCCCGCTTTAACTTTCAGAGAGAAAAATCAGGTAGCCCCAACAACAAAAACACACACACACACAAAAAAACAAAAACAAAAAAAGAAAATCATCTCCCCTCTGTATACATCCTATTTCTAAAGGTTCCTGCCTTTCCTGATTTAACATTTGAACAATTTACTTTTGTGTGAAACCACCCAATTATACTCCTGGAGCCAAGTGAAGGTCAAATCCTCTTACACCCAGTAGTCTTGACAACCAGCATTCCACTTAACAACAAGATTTCCAAATCCCAGACACAGGCTCTGTGACTGGAAACATTTCCCCTGCAAGCAACAGAATGAAGTGATCACACAAACAAGAAAAGAAGAGCCGGGGATGGGCTCTCTGGGAGTTTGCCGCCTGTGGCTTGACCTGCATGTCAGGCACCTGGGGGTTCCCTTAGGGAAGGTCGGTGACCTTCTCTCCTGCATCGCACTTCTGCTCCCTACTGTGCGTCACCCCTAAATGGAACGCCTGTTTCTTTTCCAGAGGGAAGGGGCTAACACACCACCCTGTGATGTGCCATCCCTCGGTTGCTAGGACTGGGGCCATTAAAATGGCAGGTGTTAAAAGACTGCACCTCAGTGCCCAGCTACAAAGCTTCAAGGTCACTGCATTCCACAGCTTCCAGCGGCCTTTCATTCCTGGCCTCCAGCTTCGATGTCCTGGCGAGATCCCCTCGCATTATATTTCAGGGGCTTAAATGCAAGCTCTCCCAGCAAGCCCGAGTGCATAATGGAAGTTTTAATACATTCCTTTTACCTAAGGCTGGGATCTATTTCAAAAAGTTACCCAGTAGATTTTCTTTCAGGTGAGCTCATTGCTGAAACATTCCAACAGGACATTAAAAAAATAAATCCTCTGATCACTATATTAATACAGTGCTTGGGACACTGAGAGTTATGCCTGAAAACGTCTTAAATCTATAAATAAACCTTTATTTAAAAAAAAAAAAAAAAGCCACCCAGCAGGAGGAATGTGAGCAGCTAATGGAATCCAAAAGACTTCATCACTATCCCCTTAAGAGTTCAAATCCACTTTGGGCTGACTGTCACAGCAGATATAAAAAGCCAGCCACAGGCTGAGGCCGTGTTAGGAAATACTGGGGCAATGGAATATTAATCTTTTTCTTAAGAGAAAAGCCACAGACTCTGCTCCTTGGAAGACTGACCTCCTTTGCTCTAAAAAGGTGCAGTCATTGAATGTGTACAAGGTTAAGTTTGGACAACATATAACCGCCTTAAACATCAGCCCAATGTCCCTTCCTGACTTCAGGGAGCAGGGACTCTGCAGAGACGAGAGAGGGAGGGGGAGACAGACTGCAGCTTTCTAAAGTGGCAGGAGCATGTGTTAGCAGCAAACGTGCCCTTCCTGGGAGCATATCTTGGTACTGCCTTCTATTTCTCGGCTCATCTTATGCGAGGTTCCGGGTCTCCACGCGGTGCACGGTGCTTGCTCAGCCTACCAGAACTGGCTGTATTAACAAGCACATGACCAAGGCCATGCAGGGCTGCAAAACATTTTGGTCACACGAGGGACTCGGCCACGGGATAAGTCGGGCCTCCCGCACAACTTGTTTGAGCCTCGGTTAGGTGAATAAGAAACTCAATCAGAATTTGAAATATTTTTACTGCATCAGGAGTGGAGAATGAAGTTTCCAAGGTTTTATAAACAAACAGTCTGATACAAACACAGCACTGTTGGAGGTCACAGCAGATGTGAACAGATCTCATGAAGACATGTACGTATATATTTGTTATTTTCCCCCACATTCACATCAGCCTTCAGGAGCAACTAACACTTCCCAGTGGGCATAGCCAACAGAACTCCAGGGACTCCTAACTTGGTGTCCTTAGTGGAATTCAAAGGGTATGTGAACTGAAATGAGAAAAATGTGCTATTTTTGTTTTCACCAGTCTCTAATAAAAAGTTACTGTTTCTTTCGATTATGATTATAGAAAGCAAACTCCCATAATACAATAGAAGCACTACCTATAATTTTGTTGCCAACAGAAGTCATATTTTCATATCAATTACATTTATAGCTATATATAGTTGCACATATATATCATCTACCTATCTGATTTCCTTTGAGTATCAAAGCCTTTTATTTTACTCATTTAAAAAGATTCAAAGAAGAGGCCCATAGCCTTCACCAGCATACCCAAGGGGATAGTGGCACAAAAAGTGAGGAGCCCCAGTCCTGTAAGGAAACTTGCTAGCAGAACAGGGCAAGTCTTGCCCTAAGGCTCTGAGAGCATGTCTAACATCTTCAATTTCCGCCAAATACAGGGATGGCAGAGCAGCTGGTAAAAAAAAACAACAACAAAACTCAAAAGGTATGGGTTCTGGTCCCTAACTTAGTCTGGGTCCTTTAGCATAACATTCACGCTTTTTACTATCCATAAGGCATGCCTATATGCTCACAACGCCTGCACTTTGCAAGCATTAGTTCATGGGATCCTTATAGCCACCTTCTACAGTGTACTATTATTATATCCATATAACAGATAAGAAAATTGAACCTCAAACTTTTAAGTAATCCATCATAGTCACACCCAAGTGGAAAACATAAATAGGATATATCTCCACAGCCACTAGATTTCATATTCTAGCAAACTGGGATAACAATTCCTACCCATAGGATTTATGTGAAGCTCAGATGAACAATCTTTATACATAAAAACCTAAGCAACCAAATAGGCTGCATGGGGCGACTAGGCCGACAGGGGGGTTAGTGAGGGACGACCAGATGACAGACCAGCAGGCTGCATGGGATGACCAGGCCAGCAGGGGGGTTAGTGAGGGGTGACCAAATGACCAAGCAGCAGGCTGCATGGGGCAATCAGGCCAGCAGCAGGGGGTGGGGGCAATTAGGGGCGATCAGGCAGGCAGGCAGGTGAGCAGCTAGGAGTCAGTGGTCTTGGATTGTGAGAGGGATATCCGACTGCTGGTTTAAGCCCAATCCTGGGGGCATACCCTGAGGGTTCCCAGATTGGAGAGGGTGCAGGCTGGGCTGAGGTGAACCCCCATCAGTGCATGAATTTCATGCACCAGACCTCTAGTAGATACATAATACATTAGATATAAATAGTAACTTCCAAAAAACAAGTTACCAGTATTTAAAAATCATTAGCATTAAAGTTTTGAAGCACAGCAAAATGTTGAATTTTGGAAATAACCAGTAGAGATAAGGGAACTTTTGAATTTCATTTCATGTTTAAGTGGCAATAGAATTACTAAAAAGAATGGCTAATGGCCTAGATAAGGATCAACTAAAATTAATACTTGCTTGCTGGTGTTTTGCTACAGGGCTTGAAAAGTTTATTCTCTGAAGTAAATAAAACAAGTGCTCTTCAATATGGCTGCAGGCTGTTTATTTACTTAGCAACTGTTCCTCCCCTGACCGAAGGGAAAATTCAGTCCACTTCTGGCCAGATAATGACAAGACCCAGAATGAAGCCTAGAGAACATGGCTTGCCCAGCTGCCACACGAGAGGTTCCCTGCTCCTTTCTCAGTAGCTCTGCAGGATTTTCTGTGCAGAGTAGAAGCGCCTCTCCAGGGACATTCTCACCCTGACTTCTCAGGATCCACTTACCTGACTAACAATGAAGAAGATGATGGTCATGGCAGCACAGGCCAAGGTGATAAGCATGAGGAACTTGAACCTGAAAATTAGCCCCTATTAGAAGAGAGAAAGAGTAGTTTAACATTCCACCAGCTATCGCCAATCCTTATCTCAATATATACATCTCTAAAAAGCGAATTTTAAAAAAGAAATCCATAAAACCAAATCCCTAAGAGCAATAGTGAAATAATTTCACGTAGTAACTTTTTTTTCTGCAGAGTGGAAAAAAAAAGTCTTGGACCAAATATGTCCTATGTTCTTATCTCTCATAAAACAGTAACACCAGAGCCTGGGAAATTATATTCACAGCACATCATGAGGCTGCTAATTTCCCTGTTAAGCTGGTTATGCTTCTCTGCAAGGGTTCAAAGTTACCAAATCCAAGTTTTTTTTTTCCCCCCCAGTGGAAATAAAATTCTGCTACAGTGAACAAAAAGAAACGTGCATATTAATCAACCTGAAGTGGGCTCGGTTGAGTTTTCCAAGTGTCACTCTAGCTCTAGCGACAGGCAAAACTTTAGAAAGTGCCCCTGCTTTCTGAGAGCAGAGTTGGAGAAAACCTGTGCTTTGGGAAGGGACGCCTCTGCAGACCCACTGCATATGGGAGCCCTGGGGTTCTGCTGTTCCTATTTCTCTCTTCAGAGAGGAATTGGGACCAAGTCTCTAAGGACAGCCACTTGGGCGTGAGCGCAAAGGGGTCTTTGAGAAATCAAGAATGTGTTACCCGCATTAGAAATTCGAGTGTTTCTTTTGAATGAGGCACATAATCTATAAACAGACATTACTGAACCCTATCTGAGCACCTGCTGGATATTTCAGGGAACTGTGGCTTCCTGCAGTCTGCAAATCAGATCACCTGGGCTGAACCCCACCCAGTCTAAAGGCTGATTCTCAGCAAGGGAACCTTAACTAGTGACTCACCCCAAGCCAAATCTCAAGTCTATCAAACTCAAATCTCCCACCTAGCATGCACCTACATTCCACCCCAAAGCCGAAGAACCTGTGGGACAAGTTTCCTCCTCACTGGGGACAGAAATACACTTATACCCCAGGAAATTCCAACATTCAGGTAGTCCAGCTACATGCCTCTCAGGGTAGGAAGTAGCCTCTTATTTTTCCCAGAGATCCTAGAGTACGCATAAATCTCTCAATCGGTATGTGTATTTGAAGTAAAGGCTTCCAATCTCCAGGTGTGGGGTGGGGTGTGTATGTGTGTGTGTGTGTGTGTGTGCATGTTTATACAACAAGCAGGAGACACTGAGTACCATTTCCTGAATGAGCCAAGAGACCTGCTTACCTCATAGTGCAGCCGCCGGACTTTGCTCATGGCTGGCAGGCTGGACTGCTTCCCATTGATGTTCCGAAACACCTGAAACACCATGAAGCACAGAAACAGGAAGTACAGGCAGAGGCAGATGCCAGCCACAATGATGAAGGCCATCTGATGGTGATCGGTGAAGGAAACAGCAGGGTAGGCAAGCACACAAGCACTTCTCCCAGCTCCATTGGTAATACCTTTTCTCTCCAAATACACAGGTAGTTTTCAGGGGTATAAATAGGGTCGGCAACTAAGTAATTGCGGGTTTCACACATATATGGCTTCAGTTGAATTTTTAGGTTTGCAGACGTAGTACAAATGTAAAACACATTTTGTTATTTGATAGTTGGCTATTCAGCTGTTAATCAGTAAAAAAAGTTTTTTGATCTGTTTTGTAGTTTTCGTTTGGCGTTCGTTGAAAAATGGAAAATCAAAAGGAACATTTTCGTCATATTTTGCTTTTTTATTTCCACAAAGGGAAAAACGCATCGCAAGCTCATAAAAAGTTATGTGCTGTTTATGGTGACAAAGCCTTAAAAGAACGGCAGTGTCAAAATTGGTTTGCCAAATTTTGTTCTGGTGATTTTTCACTCAAAGATGAAAAACGCTCTGGTCGTCCAGTTGAAGTTGATGACGCCCTAATCAAAGCAATAATCAATTTGGACTGTCACAGTACAACACGTGAGATTGCAGAGAAGCTTCATGTATCACATACATGCATTGAAAATCACTTAAAACAACTTGGCTATGTTCAAAAACTCGATACATGGGTTCCTCACGAACTGAAAGAATCACAGTTAACGCAACGCATTAGCAGCTGCGATTTGCTAAAGAAACGTAATGAAAATGATCCATTTTTAAAACGACTGATAACTGGCGATGAAAAATGGGTTGTTTACAACAATATCAAGCGGAAAAGATCGTGGAGCAGGCCAGGTGAACCAACTCAAACAACATCAAAAGCTGATATTCATCAAAAGAAGGTTTTGTTATCAGTTTGGTGGGATTACAAAGGAATTGTCTACTTTGAACTCTTACCACCCAACCGAACGATCAATTCTGATGTCTACATTGAACAACTAATGAAATTAAACAATGCAGTTGAAGAAAAGCGGCCCGAATTGACAAATCGAAAAGGTGTTGTATTCCATCATGACAATGCAAGGCCACACACATCTTTGGTCACTCGGCAAAAATTAATGGAGCTTGGTTGGAATGTTTTGCCACATCCACCATATAGTCCTGACCTTGCACCATCTGATTACTTTTTGTTTCGATCTTTACAAAACTCCTTGAATGGTAAAAATTTCAATAATGATGATGATGTCAAATCGTACCTGATTCAGTTTTTTGCTAATAAAAACCAGAAGTTTTTTGAACATGGGATTATGATGCTGCCTGAAAGATGGCAAAAGGTCATTGATCAAAATGGGCAATACATTACAGAATAAAGTTATTTAGTTCCATGAAAAAATTGTCTTTGATTTTCTTTTAAAAATCCGCAATTACTTAGTTGCCGACCCAAACCTGGTTTTAATGTCAGCGAAACACATTTTATGCCACAATTCTAGCACAGAGAGAAACGTTCCAAATTGTTTTCTAAGCCAAATAGGAGAAATGAAACTTCGCTTGTTAAAAATGCAGACTCAAAGGCTCACCCTAGACCTTCTGAATCAGAATCTGCCTTTTAACAAGGTCCTAGGAAGATTCACATACACAATAACAGCACTGAAATATTAGATGTGGATAGCATAACACTGATCAAGTGGACAGCTGCATTAAAATCACCAGAGGAATTAAAATACAGATGTTCCAAGTCTCGCACTGCAGGTATATGGAATCAGTTTTTTCAGGGGATAGGACACCAAGTATAACCATGTTTGGGAGCCATTGGGCTAGTCTCTGGATTTTTGGGAGGAGATTGAAATACCCTGGAATCAGAAGCGGGTGCAGTGGGGATGGGTGCAGCAGTGGCTAAGGGAGGCTGGCCATGGGAATGAAGGTCTTAAAGTAAAACCTGGTGTGAAGCTCTGTTTGCAATCTCCTGTCCACCACAGAAACCATTATGTCAAACGGAACAGGGAGCAGGAGGACACATGGCCAAGGTGGCAGTTGAGAGGGTGGCAATATACTTTCAGGCTAATCTTTAAGGGTGATATCAAGACCTACTTTTAAAGTTCAGTCTGAGAACCACTGAGGCTCGAGGTAGAGTGAGCTGACTTGGGAGACAGGTGCCCTACCCCTAACTCCTTTCTGCTGCAACTCCACCCCAAGCTGCACATTTAACAGTTGTTTAACAAGTGTGAACTCCGTGTATTCCGTGTTTCCCCGAAAATAAGACATCCCCTGAAAATAAGACCTAGCGCATCTTTGGGAGCAAAATTAATATAAGACACTGTCTTATTTTGGGGGAAACAGGGTATATATATCATTAAATAGCATATTTAATGAAGCTTTTCCTTCTTTCCTAAAATCAATAGTACCCTGGAATGAAGAGAACATAATTATTTGCTTCAGGACTCGAAATGTTATTTGCTTTCCTAAATCACCATCATATCATAGAACAAAGGGGCTAGAGTAGACTTGACATTACATATATTGAGGTATATATGTAGATATATTATATATATCCTATATAATAAAAAGCTAATATGCAAATAGACTGAACAGCTGAACAACCGAACAACTGGTTGCATTGATGGTCACTGACCATCAGGGTGTGTGTGCAGAATGTGTCAGGCGTTGGCAGTAGCGGGATGGTGGAGCAGGTGAGCAGGGCTACCACACCAAGGTGGGTCACTGGGGCGAGCCTCTGGTAGTTATTGAAAATTCTTTGTTCCCTAGAGCCAAAGTCCCGCCCAGTGCTCGCACCTGCTGCCCAGGGCTGGTCCCAATCACTTGGCGCCATCTGCGGGTGCTAGCGGTGGCTGCTGGCCCTGATCGCCCCTGAGGGCTTCTCCATCTCCCTCTTCTCCCGAGGGGCGATCAGGGCAGCAGCTGCCACTTGTACCTGTTGCTGGCACTGGCTCCAATTGCTCTGTTTGGTGCAGCTCACATTTTTGGAGTAATGGAGGGCGGGGAAGCTTAACTCTCAAATCTTTCAGATAATAAATACTACTACTAATTTAGTGTGCTCACAAACTTCTTGTGATAATACAAAGCCAATATAAACATCATGGCCAGGCAAAGCATACTGGCCAGCACATGACAAAATATTATCCATCAGGAAAGAATACAACTCAAGGCTTTCTCCCCTCTCCAGAGAAGAGTATTTTTCTCCCCAAGGATTTAATGCATTATTCAGGAAGATAAAATATTTAAATGCAGCATCCTAAAAGGGTTAAGCTCACACTGTCACTTCTGCTTCAGGAAGATGACTCCAATAGAGTCTATGCAACCAACCAGAGGCCTTGGGCAACGCCTCTGGAACTAATCACCTTAGCCTTATCTCCTCTTGGGCTCGGAAATGAATAGCAGCAGCATGGTGTGTCAGCACACCAAGGTCACTGTAAGAAGTCTCACACACAGAGGAATTCAAAAACTGGCTCTCCCACAAGAAGCCCAGAAATCAACCTCCATGGCTCTAGGAAAAAGCTAGTCATGCTTCGGTCTGCAGTAAACAAGGGTGGAATAGATAATTTAGGCAGGGTGCAATAAGACCAGCAATTCTGATGCTTCCGCCGTGGGGACATGCTGCAATCTCCTTATTTTGCCTGCTCTCACCCAGGCTTGAAAGCAAGCATTAATTCCTCTCATTATTTGCTTTAATTGTGCCGTTATCTTCAGTCTAAGGATCAAAGCTCTGGCTGAGCACATATGGAGCACATCATTAGAAAATGATCTTGGGGATCAGACGGCTATGGGAAGAAATAAAACCCTGAGACAATCCAGGAAGGATACAGCCAACTCTGTTCCAACATCTGTAGTCCAGATACTGTAGAAGGGATTCGTGAGTTGTACCCCTCTACAAAGAGAAACGAGATGGAAAAGCAAGAAACAATTAATACAGAGGAAAAGGGGCACTTTCCTTTCTATATATTCTTAGAATATATTTCAGCTGGAGGGGTGGAGGGTGTATTTAGAAAAGTCACAGAGGGCTAAAACCGGTTTGGCTCAGTGGACAGAGCGTTGGTCTGTGGACTGAAGAGTCCCAGGTTCGATTCTGATCAAGGGCATGTACATTGGTTGCGGGCACATCCCCGGTGGCGGGTGTGCAGGAGGCAGCTGATGGATGTTTCTCTCTCATCGATGTTTCTAGATTTCTAGCCCTCTCCCTTCCTCTCTGTAAAAAAAAATCAATAAAATATGTTGGGGGAAAAAAAAGTCACAGAGGACTTAAATAGAAAAAGAGTTTGAAGAATTATCAGCCCAATCCGCCAGTGTTGTCCAATGTTGTTGAGCCTCAACCTAGGAACCAGGAGGTCACGGTTTGATTCCATGATCAGGGCATGTGCCCTGGTTGAGGGCTTGACCCCCAGCAGGAAGCATGCAGGAGGTAGCTGATCAATGATTCTCTTTCATTATTAATATTTCTCTCTCTCTCCCTTTCCCTCTCTCTTTGAAATCAATAAAATACAATTAAAAAAAAAAAAAGGAATAATCAGCCCAAGTAATCAGCCCAAGTAGTTTGCATCTATAAAGAGCTTTACCTTTGATTTAATCCCAATCCCTCTCTGAAGAAATGTCCACAGGTTTCCAACCACCCTTCCCCCTTTTGAAAACCCCTCCTGAAGAGCAGGCAGTGGGCATGCTGGTGCGCATTTCAGCCCAGAGTCCCACAGGCATCTGCTCACCTCTCACACATGTCAAATATGAAGAGGCAGAAAGAGCCAACAGCGATTGGTCCGACTTGCTTCCAATACCCTGCTATGTGATTCCGCTCATGCTGATCCTGATTAAAGCAAAGTTGAGAAATGAGATGAAGATGGGGAGAACAAAACAATTCCATAGGTGAGTCAGTCATTCGAACAACCCTTAATGACAACCTGTTGTGTATCACACATCCTGCCATACTCTAGGCATTCAAGAATGGGTGAGACCAAAATCTGTTCCTAAAACTCTCATAGTAATAACAACTGGGTGCTATGGGAACACAAAGAAAGGCCTCATAGGTTAAATCATTTAGAATTAAATTCCTATGTGACTTATTCTTCATGTTTGATAAGGTGGGGTGGTCTCTAGAGGACTGAATAAAGACTCTAAGGTATTAAACTATGTCAAATGTAAGAAGTCTCACGGTTAGGAAAATAAATCCATGTTTTCCCTATCTTTATTCAAAACAAAAATGGTTCCTCTTGATAAATGTACAAAGATATGAAAAGACAAAAATTAAAGGGGTGTAAAATGAGAAAATAGAGAAAGGCAAAAGACATTGTTGAGCATTCAGGTGGGACCCAGGTGGGACAGTCCACACCAGTTCACTCTGGGCAGTGCACTCCGCAGACTGTCCGGCAGCTGCCCCTGAGCCTACTCCACTCACTGTCCCTGCTGCTGAGGGCTCGGTCTCATGCTGGCGAACCGTCATGCCTCCCCTGGCAGTAGGCAAAGCCTCTCTCTCCTCTCACTGTTCTAAAAGGGCTGCACAGCTTCGGAAGCAATGATCAAACCATCATGGAATTTACAAACAGCCCACCAACCACAAAGCCCATGTGCTTGATCTGGGGCCCAAGCTCCAGCTGGTGTGTCATTTTAGCCACAGCGTGCTGACGGCACCATTCTTATTTTTAGCCACAGTACCGTCAATTCCTCTTGAAATACGATTTGGTGTCTGTGCAAACTGACCAGGAAGGTCAGTATTTCAGGGAAAGAGGGGTTACTAGGCCAGCTGGACAAACTGCCAGCTGGAAAGAACTGGGCCTACACTACACTCTGTCATGGTTACTTTGGTCCTGGGGATAAGCAGAGCAGAAGCCAAAGGACAAGAAATAATAATAATCACTAATCTTTGTGTGTTTATTCCCTGCTAAGTATGTTACATTTACATCTCATAAAAACCCTATACATAAATCCCATTTTATAGATAGGAACTTGAGATTCAGAGTGATTAAGTCCACTTGCCTAAGGCCACAGCTAAGCAGTGGTGAAGTAGAAATTGGAGCTGAAAGCCTGATCCCAAAACTCACTCCTGTAGCCACTAATTTATTCTGCCATATCCACTGTCCCTTCCCCGAGAGGTTCTTTCTCTTACCATCATGTGCTCGCCACAGAAGATAATCCAGAAGGAGAGAAGCATTGCGTAGAAGATGCCCTGCCGAATATCACCAAACAATAGCATCCAGGTCCAGTCAAACCCAATGGAAAACCATTCCACTGGGATATTGATAAACGTCATGGAGATCCCAAGGGCAAAGATGACTCTGATAGCAAGAACATATCAGGAAAATGACTTGATTCATTTCAGAAGCAGATCTTCAAACATCAGAAGCCAGTTTTGGGGAAATGAGATGTTATAATACTTATTGAAAATGAAGCTGTATGACCAATTTTCTTAGCTCCCATAATGAGCTTCTACACAGAGATACAAAATGTCTTTTTTTTGTGGTACCAATGCAGGATGGAGGAGTATTACCTTAACCTTTCTAGATCACTGAACTTAACCTCCTTAATCCCTGGGATTTTATTTTGGTACCAGCTCAGATTAAAAGCTTCCCGCAATGTTTTTGCTCTCCCTTGCCTTCTTAATCAGACCTCATTGAATATAATTATCCTCTCTCGTCTATTCAGGCTATCACTAACTTGATGGCTAAGAATATTCATTGTTATAATGCTTTCCTCAGCAACTGTGAGTTATATAAGCATATTCGTTTTAATAATACATGATTCCAAACAATATGAAATGCACATTCTTTTAATGGCTTGTTTAGTGTTACTGTTGCTTCCCCCACCCCCTATCACACTTATTAATTGTCATTTCTCTATCAAATTATTCATTGAGTCAGTGATTTATTTCTATTTTCATTCATTATTAATGAAGTACATATGTTTACTAAGCACATATTATGTGCTGGGCACTTTGTTAGGGTTATACATACCTAAATAAATATGAGCAGTTCTTCCAATCCTGGAAATCTGTTTAGTGCCTCATCCAGATAAAGAGACAAAGTGTAATAAGCGATATGACAGAAATGTATGCCCAGGCTGTCACTGGGACCTCTAACTTTGACAGAAATTAAAGTGAGTTGTAAGTCAAGAATAGGGGAGGAAGGGCATTCCAAGCAGAGGGAAGTGCCTGGATGGGGGAAACAGAAGCCTGGAACAGCCTGAGCATCTTGGGGATCTGTATGAGGCACTTATCAGGAAATGTCAGGACATGATACTAAAGAAGTGAAAAGGGGCAAGCTCATGAGGAAACTTGAATACCTCATTAGAGAATTTGCAATTTATCCTAAAAGAACTGAAGATCCAATAAAAAAAGGCTCAACAGTGGAGTAACATCATTCATTCATTCATTCATTCAATGAATTCATATTTATTGAGTTCCTGTTATGTACCAGTCACTATTCTAGACACTAGGAATGTAATAGATAGCAAAACAAAGATCCCACTCTTTTGATAACTGCATTCAGATGGGGTTAGAGGAGGGGTATACAGGGAAAGATAATAAATAATGATTGTTATAAAGAAAAATAAAGCAAGGTGGGAGAATGGAGAGTGGTGTTATTTTATGCATGGTGGGCAGGAAAAGCCTTTAAGAGAAGATACATAAGAACAGGGCCTGAAGGAAATGAGGAATTGAGCCATAGATATATCTGGATAAGAGCATTTCAGATAACCAGAACAGCAAGTGCAAAGTTCCTGGGGTTAGGCATGTTTGAGTTCCATCAAGGGGATGGTAGGTGGTGAAGAGGATAAGAGATAAAATCAGAGACAGTAAGAGTCCATAGCATCCAGGGCTTTATAGGCTAGAGCAAGGGAGGTGCAAAGCCAATAGAGAGCTTCGGGCAGAGGAGTGACATGATCTGATTTACACTTGAAAGGGAATCTGGCTGCAGAGTGAATAGGTTATAGGGAGGAAAATGGTGGAAACAAGAACAGTTCAGAGGCTATTTCAAATAAACCAAGTGAGAAATGATGGTGAATTAGGGTAGCAGCAATGAAAATTGTGGGATTTCTTGGTGGGTTAGACGAGGAGCGTGAGAAACCAAAAGTCAAGGGGACAGGGTGGAGTTGCCATTTCCCATGATGGGAACTCCCGGGAGAGGAGCTGGTTCGAAATGGGAGGATAGCCATTGTTTTTTGCACGTGTTGTATTTCTGTGTAAGTGAAGATATTGAATAAACAGCTGGAATATTTGAGTCGACAGTTGGGAGAGGCTGAGATTGATGATTATAAATTAATAGTCATCATTTAGGTGCTTTTTAAAACCATGAGTCCAAATGAGGTCATCCAAGGACTAAGCACAGATAATAAGGAGATAAGTTCCAAAGACTGAGCCCTGGCTCCAAAGTTTAAGAGGTTGGAAAGTTGGTCGGAAACAGCAATGGAGACGGAGTGGTGGTCAGCAAAAAAGGAGAATGCCCACAAAAAGGGTGGAAAAGGCTCAAAAATGAGGGGGGGCAGTGTTCAATCGTGTCAAATGCTGATGTGTCAAGAAAAGTGAGGACTGAGGCAGGACCATTGGGTTTGGAATGCTGGTGATCCTGTCAAGACCAGTTTCACGGAGTAGCGGGAGGGAGTGGTGTGTGAAATGGGCTTAAGAAAAAATAGGAGAAGATTACAGACAAAAAATTTTTGAGGAGTTTTGTTGTAAAAAAAGAAAAATGGTGTGATGGCTTCTGGGAGAAACAGGAAAAGGAAAAGTCTTGTTCAAGAATGAGAGCTAGCAGAGAGTATTTGTACATTAGTGGGAATGGTTCAGCAAAAAGGAAAAAAGTCAGTAATATGGGAGAGAAAGGGATACATCTACAGGAATATTGTCCTTCTGGACTGGGCTTAGGTAGGAGAAAGGCAGCTCATCCTCTGTAACAGAAGTATCTGATTCAGACCGTGGGAATGAGAAGCAAGGACGGAACAAAGAGCAGAAAGAGAGAGAACCTGCAGCATTTAATAATAATTTGTATGTGAAAGCTGGAGGAGAAAAAAGTCCAAAATGATTCCTGGTCAAATCACTAGCCCAAGTACTACACTGACCACTTGAACTAGATCCTGCTAAACAGGAGCAGACAGTTAGATCATGCGATGCTGTGTTCCTCAGGGTATTCCCAAACCAGCCCTTACTTTTCTAGAAGCACTGGGGGGCGGGACATCATGGTGATCCTCCTCCAATACCACACCATAATGATGAAGATGCTGGGCGTAAGGAAGGTCTTCATGGCAAACCACACCTTGGTGAAGCCTCCGTTTTGGTGGATTCCCTAGAGAGAGGCCAACATTTTGAAGGTGAACATATCTTAGCGTTATTTTCTACCAGCAGAGAGAGGCAAGGAGGGGTGGGGGGCTTGTCTGCTGAACTGTCCAGATCAAAAGCCTTCACATTCAGAGCATATACTGTTGCCTACTCTCCCTGACCCCTTCTCAGGCATTGTAGAAATATAAATCCAAAGGCATAAAAATGGACCCACACAATACAAAGGGGATGATTAAGAATATGATCAAAGATTTTTCTGTATGGCCTTCATTGAAAAGTTGGAGATACCGTAGATGACCAAAGTTAAGACTGGTAAAATGTGTTAAAAGTAAATCTATGTGAGAGTGTGTGCATGTGTGTGTGTGTATTTAATATTCATTCACTGCATATATAAAATATTCACAATATACAATTAACATATTCACAAAATACCATTAAAATAAAAGAGTAAGTCCTGGCCAGTGTGACTCAGTGGTTGAGTATCGACCTATGAACCAGGTGGTTATGGTTCGATTCCTGGTCAGGGCACATGCCCAGGTTGTGGGTTCTGATCGATGATTCTTTCTCATCACTGATGTTTCTATCTTTCTCTCCCTCTCCCTTCCTCTCTGAAATCGATAAATATATATTTTTTAAAAAGAGAGCAAAAATGTCAATTGAGTATAATCCTATTTTTTGTACATAAATATATGTATAGAAGAAATCTGAAATCAAAACCTCAATAGTAGTTATTTCTATATGCTAGGACATTGGTCGGCAAACTCATTAGTCAACAGAGTGGGAAACTGTGAGCTGCAGTTTGCCGACCACTGACAGTACAGGTAATTTTTATGTCCTATGTGTTTACTTGTACTTTCTAATTTTCTACAATATATATGTATTTCTTGTGTAACTATGTTTTAGATTAAAAAATGGTCCCCTCACCCCATGTTCTAATTTTTCCATTAAACAAATAAATGGAAAGAACCTAAAACACCACTGTTCCTGTTAACATTTAGGTTTGCAAGGTGAAACATGTAAAAAATAACTGTTTTTATCTTGGTGTTATTCATTATACAATCATGATCATTATGACATCTTCAATGGGCGAAATAACCGCTTTATTTTCCGTTTCTGTAATCTCTCACACAAATTTCTAATCTCAGCCATCATGGGTATATGTTACTATTCTTATTTCTCAGATGAGACAATAGAGGTTTGGAGATACCAAGAGTGAGAGGCGTGTTCCCTTTCAATGCACTTGCTCCATAACCAGTTCTTAGCCTGTGTTCTAGTGCTGCAGACTGCCTGGGTCAATGAGATACACTTACCACCAACCGAATATCTTTTATCTCCCCAATGCCAACGTTGATTTTCTTCTTTTCATTCACAGGCAGCCGGATGTTCAGAAGGTAGTACTTATGAGCCACAGACCCAATTTCCATTAAAGGAAGGACGTCGCATTCATAGTAACGGCCCTCGTGCTCTGGGGTCTGGAAGAAGAACGGAGGTTTTGAGGCAGGGTCACTATTGCCAATGGATTGTCTGATCTGTCTTACTTGTGCCTCCTAGCATGAATTCTTAAAGGTATTCCTAGCTAATGCTTAAAGGTATTCCTTAGAGGTACAGACAACAGGGCACACTGGAGGCATTGTATCCACTAGCTGCCCTTCCTTCCTTCAAAAAACAAACACCCATTAGCCACATTTGAGGTAGAACCTAAAATCTTAGTAGGTAAAAAACAAAAACCTCTTCTGTCTCCTTGCATGTTTCTCAGTGTTTTAACCCTCACTTGAGCCTCCTATCAGATTCATCTGGTCTACCAGGACTGCATGCTTTTTATCTGCAGCCCATTACTGGAGACCTGTAAGGCTCTGTGGGACAGTTAACTTCTTAAGGTTCAGGAGGAAGCTCTTGCTGACATTCCGCACAGTCTTAGGTAATGGCTAATTACTTACATGGTTTTGGCCAGCAGGAGAAGCTGCAAGAAGCTGAGAACATCTATGTTTTATTGATTTGACAGAAAAAGAAGCAACTCCAGGAACCCTTGAGACTTGGGGAAGACAGAAAGGGATGAAAGGCAATAATGGGATTAGTTTGAGATGACTGCTTGGAATTTTCTATCTCCAGCGCTTCTAAACTGCCCAAGAGGCAAGATGGCAGAAGGAGCAGACATTTTAATTAAACAAAAATTAATCCCAGCTTTTAAAAGAAGTCTTCCACCCTTCCTGCCAATCAATTGAAGAGTTACAGCCCAGAACATGGCAGTGGGAGGTTGGAGAGTAGGGGCACAGGTTGTTTTGAAAACTAAATTCTGCTTTCCCACACCAGGACTCCTGGTTTTGTGATCCTACCGAGGGGTAGAGGCTTAGGGTAAATATGGCCATGTAGAGGCATAAGCTTTAGCAGCCAGGGACTTTTTCCTGATAAAAGAGGTGAGTGTCTACCATCGATGTAGGGTATATATGACAGCTTCAATGTTTGATGATCAAATGATAGGGAAGACCTAATTTGTTGTTCCCAAGGCTGAATTCTCAGAATTTCTATAAATTTTTGTGAATCGTCAAGAGCAAAAAGTCAATGGAAAAATCAGAAGGAATATAATAAGAAGTCTATAGACTAGTATATGAAGAGTCTTTTGCCCATTCTGTGATCTTGTGGAGTTCTTTATTGGAGAGTCAGAACTTAGAGTGGAATGAACAGAGACCTCCGTATAGAGACCAAAGACACACATGGCAAAGTAGAGGTATAGCATGCAAATATCTGGCTTGTTTGCTTCTACTCCCTATTCAGAGCAGACATCATTAATCAATCATGATTGTTTTTTATCCTTTAAGGTTGGAGGGACTCTTATCAGAATTATCAGTCGATTAGACTTGGCTTAGGGAATTTAAAATGTTTTTCTGCAGAAAGAATCCTGCTTTTTACCCAAACTCCATCTGCAGGCTGGATTATTCTTCCTGTATAGGCTTGTCTTTCTCTCCTTCCTGTTCCTTTCTCTCTCATATATTTACAAATCAGAGCTAGTGGTAGGCCTCTGCAGGAACAACTAAAAACACACTATAGGCTCTGATTCAACCTCAGATTAAGCTGCATTGAGGAGGTTGCTGACCCCCTGTGGTACCAGCAAGGAGGATTTTCTGATATGTTTCCAATCAGAGTCTTGCTTTATTGAGACTTTGAGGGGAAAGAGAGTTTTATTTAGTCGAATGCTATAGTCCCAAAAGTAATAGTATTGGGTTGAGGCATGGGCCTTCCAAGTCCAGCCTTCAGCTCTGATGGGGAAGAAACGAATGACATTGCATCAGACATGCCTGAGGACCGGCACTGTGCTGTGATAAGAATAGCAATGACCTGACCTTGCTCCTTGTTGGATACCTTGTGAAGGTCATCCACCTCATTTGGCCTCACTTTCCTCATAAGTAAAACAAGAAGGTAAAATAAGATAATCTACAGGGTTCTAGTCCCCTTTCATTGTTCTCCAGGGGTCTTCTACTTCCCTGGCCGTACAGAGAGCTAATGCTATCAACTCATGAAACAAATTTATCTTAAGTTTCCCTGGCATTGGGGCTCAGTGGTTCAGTGACAACCTATGTACCAGGAGGTCATGGTTCAATTCCCAGTCAGGGCACATGCCTGGGTTGCAGGCTTAATTCCAGTAGGGGGTGTGCAGGAGATAGTTGATCAATGATGTTCCTCTCTCATTGATGTTTCTCTCTCAATAACTCTCACTTTCTCTCTCTCTCTCTCTAAAAATCAATTAAAAATGTTTTTAATCTAAGTTAAATAAACCAAATACACTGGATTCCAAAATCCTGGCCTAGCCTACCTGTCTCAAAGATAAACACTGCATCCTGTTCGGGATTTTTCCATACACACTGAAGTTCTGCCTCTGCCAGTATTTAGGACATTTAGAAAGACAATCGCCCCTCTCTCTTTACTTTCTCTCATCCCCCTTAGGCCTTCCCCAGCTCCAGCCAACTCCAGCATGAGACTGACTAATTAGGACAAATTACAGCAGGTGGCAACTTGACTACTTCTTTTTTTTTTTTTTTTAACTTCACAAACCACAAGGGACTAAAACCCTTTACAGCAATTTCTCATTTAATCTTCAGACTCAAAACTAAATTTAACTGCAATCAGAAAGCACAGATTTGATGATTCATTTTCCTTCACACTTTTCAAGTTTAATATCTTTCTTGAGAGGAATCAACACATCCTAAAGATAATTAAGCAGCCAACACCTAGGAATAGTTGCAGGCTTCTTAATGACTCCCCCTCACTCTGCTTCCCAGTGCCCTCCAAGTGTGCAAGTGAGGTGAGAAATTACTTTTCCCTTTTCTGAGGATGAAATTCCATATCCTGAAGCTTTATATCCTTTAGCATAGATATCCAACCAGTCTCACCTCTGAAAGACGCAGGCAACTTGCAGCAACAGCTAGAAAGGTTTTAATTAATTTTCTCTGTTGCACACAAAGCTCTGAACATATTAGATAGTCCCCTCTCCTGCTACTTCCAGTTTCCCTCTACCACTCATTTTCACCCACCGGTTGTCCCCTGAAGGCTCCCCAAACAATTCCAGGTGGCTTTATTTTTGTTGCAAGTGGAACTATATTTGGCACTCAGCAAAGGGTCTAGGGCAGTGGCTCTCAAATTTTATCAAGCTTAGGAAAAGAAATCGAAATCCTCTAGAAACAGATTCTTTGCTCCTGCCCGCTGCGATTTTGACCCTTCAGATTTTTTATTTTTTTTTACCCTTAGAATCTACATTTCCTACAAGCTCTCAGATGATGTTGAAGCTGTCAGTCCCAGATCATGCTTGCTGTAGCTCTAGTCTATGGAACCCGGAACAGAGACTTAATAAATGTCAGGTGCCCCAATAGGTGCTTGTGCCCATGAGAGTTCTAGTGGCCCATCTGATTAACATCCTCTTTCATTCTCAAATGTGTCCCAGACTACATGTTACACGATAAGGTCATTCTGCTTATGTTCACTATTCTGTCTAGTCCTTACAAAGACTCATATATCATCATTATATCATCATCATTATTATTATTATTATTCCATTTTACAGAAGGGAAATTGAAGCTCAGACAGAATAAGTAAATTTGCCTAAAGTTATGCAGACAATAAGTGATACAGCCTAGAACTGAAGATATGCTTTGCTTCAAATCCATGCTTTTACTTAATGTTAATTCTGTGAGCATGCCCCGTCTTACTCCTCCTCAAGGTAGGATGGACAGGGGAGGGGCATGGTACTGAGAGGCTTCAACCTGCCATTCTCACAATTCCACAGGGAATCTCAACATTATAGTTAGCGGCAAAAGCAAAAGGCCAATGCTAGGAAAGGAACTAAACAAAACAATGGAGTAGGTATTACAAAGCTATCCAAATCCTTCAGGAGCAATTGATCTAGAGATGCCGTGTGACAAATGACATACTCAAGAATGTGCTCTCATAAAGTTTGGCCTCTCATACACTTCACACAAAGAAAATGAGACCATTTCTGTACCTGAAGGACCATCAGAGATCACCTATCATTGCTGGTGCACCACATCAGCACCCTTGGGGAATGTGGGTAACCATGAGTAATAGTAACTATGGCTCCATTTTACCTTCACAGAGACTTTTAAGAGCAGAGGGGTAAGTAAGGGTGAGGGGTCAGAATATCAGGGAGGCATGTGTAAGGGCAACACTTGACTTTTATAAAGGGCCTCCAGCTAATTTTGATTTGGTCCTTTAATCATCAAATCCCACTATCCCTGGAGGTCACTGAATCAATCTTTGGGCCTTTGCCCCAAAGAAAATGTTCCCATATTTTTAATGCAGCATAGCAATCTCCCTTCCATGGGTGGTTGGCTGAGTTCTCCTAGAAGAACAAGAGAAGGGAGAGTCTTAAAGATGGATTAGAAGACTGAGCATGTCTTTCTGTCTGTGGTCAATGGGATTTTTAGTCTTCATACCTACACATGAACTTTGGCAGCAAAGAGAAGCCAAAGAAAAAGAGAAGTAGACTCAGCACTAATCCAATATCAAGGTTCTTATATATCAAAGTAATTCAGCAATTTTCTTCAGACACATTCAGCTATTAACCAAAGAATGAAGAATTTATTTTTATGGAAGTATTTCAGAGAAACAACTAAACCACTTCAGACAGACATTCCTTCTATTCTTTCCTCCTTTGCCAGGACAGGAAATATCTACACAGCCCTTTTCTCTACTAAGACAAATGATAATGTGGGTTATGCATGCTAAGGAATAAGGAACATGTCTGTTAATTGTAAAGCATATCTTCCCGCATACCTGGAAATCAACAATAAAAACTCCAACAAATTAGACAACAAGGAATCCTACCTTGGGGGATGTGAAGGTACACTTGAGTTTCCGAGGCACTCTCTCATGGGCCATTTCAGTCCATTCAGCAAACATATCATCACGATAAGCCAGGGAAACGTCCATGGAAACTTCTGCATTTTCTCCTGCAAGAGAAAGAACTCACAATTCCAAAATAGCTTTGGACACAGCTAAAAAATTCTTATAGGTTCTGCCATGGAAACCAATAAGATAAATAGACGATAGAGATAGATAGATAGATAGATAGATAGATACTTAGTGCATATCAAATTCCAAATCTGAAATTCTAACTCTAGAGACTTAAAAGTCATTAAATGAATGTCTAGCTAGATTATAGGTCCCCTTTTATTACTGCTGTGCAGAGATGGGGGCCTCACTCTCTCTGAGGCAGCTCAGATGGTCTTATTCTGACTCATTCAACACTTATCCTCCTATAACCTGCACTACAGGTTCTAGGTCTGCCCAGAGGAATCACATGGAAGGTAAGGTACTTCTTCTATAGAAGTTTGTTAGGCCCTGAAAGCCATGTCTCATATCTGTTTGTGTTTTCTCTCCTCCCTGAGAGAAATGTGACCAGGTTTTTCAACTCCTCTCAGAAACATGATTTAAATACCTTTGGTGCTTTCTTCTGGACATACTGTAGTCTAACAGCACTCTTGTTAACATTACTTGCAATAAGCTCTCAAATATAAGATCTGGCCTGGCTTATGTGGTTCAGTGGTTGAACCAGAGTTCAACCTATGAACCTGAATTCCTAGTCAGGGCACATCCTGGGTTACAGACTTGGTCCCCAGTGATTCTCATCATTGATATTTCTTTCCTTCTCCTTTCCTCTCTGAAACACACACACACACACACACACACACACACACACACACACACACACACGAGGCCTGGTACAGAACATTCATGCACTGGGGAGGGGGAGTCACCTCAGCCCAGCCTACACCCTTTTGCAGTCCAGGACCCTTGGATGATGTCCGCTGAGGGGTCCTTAGTGCTGCCACTGTGCTCGCCAGTCATGAGGCCGGCTTCTGGCCAACCACCAGGGGGCAGCTCCTGTGCTGAGCAACTGGTCATTCCGCTTCTGGTCAATTGCATATTAGCCTTTTATTATATAGGATATATATTATCTGCTACTTCTCTAAAAGGTAAAACCCCTTCTTCATATTGTGGACAATGTTAACCCAGAAGATGAAGGGTTTTTCCCCAAAATTAATGACTTATACATAGGTAGGAACACATTAATGAGTACACAATTATACACAGGAATGTCCACACATTATTCCATAACAGTAAGGACCATGAATAGGTTTAACTCACCTAAGAACTCATTAAGGAGTTTAAATTCATAAAGATTGCATCTATTCATTTGTCTGTTTTATGCTATGTTAAGCAAGTTCAAGAACAAAGGGCTGTAATGGGGAATAAAAATAGGACAGACCACATTTCTGAAATGATTGGAGCGTTGGCTCCCACTGGGGTTATGAGACTGCATTCAATTCTAGGCTCTGGAACTTGAACACACACAGGAGAACCAATAACTGCTGTCTGGGAACTTAGGGCTTTCCTACCATTGGCATCCCTGTGGTTTGAGGTCGATATGATAGTGCCATAAATCCTCACTTCTCTGCAAATATCCAGAAAGGGGAAGAAATGATGCAGAAAAGAAGGGATCTGAGGCCATTCTAATGTAGATGAAATCCTCCATGAACATCAGATCTGCAACTTTATTAGTATTTAAATCTAGTCAAACATGGTGAATTGGCTACTTGTCTTTCTCCTGAAATTACACACACACACACACACACACACACACACACACACACATGTGTGCGCGACTATTGAATCACAAGGGGAAACTGTATATAAATGAGTGGGCCACAGGTTTCAGCTAATTTCTTACAGATGAAAAATAGTTAAAGTAGGATTTCTGACAGCCATAGAGACAGGCACAGCCTAAACTCCCACAGAAGGAGTATTGGCCAACATGTCCCATAGACTCCCAGGGCACTCTGAACTTGAAAGCACCAGATGTTGCGGAAGACAGAGATGAGGCCTGGTGCCAACAACAGGGTGACTGGGTCAAAGTCTGTACATAGAATCATTGGTCCCCCCAGTTCCCATCACCACACAGTCTGAGGGGAGACTCTGGCCTTGAGGACCAGGCATTACAAAGACCCAGGGCTTTTCATGGGGAAGAGTCTGTAGGAGGAACTGTGGGGGGCCCAGCTGGGCAGAAGCAATGCTTGACCATTGTTTTCCCTCTAGGCTAGGGGCAAGGCCGGCTGCAACTGCTCCCTACTGGCAGCCTTAGTGGTCAATAGAAGGAATTGGCCAGAGCTTTAGTACTAGGCACCAAGGGATATCTTTTTTTTATTTCTAAGTGGGATTAGAAATTGGGGCTTTCAATCTGTTGAAAGGGCACTTGTAGAACCATATAGATCAAGAATACAAATCAGAAAAGCTGTAAGAGAAGCTGTCAATTCACGATTTGGGCTCCTTGGAGCACTAGGGTTCAGCGCAGCACTGGCCTTAGCCACAGGTAAGAGGGGCCCTTTTCCAGCTGTTCCCTTTCTCAGAGGATGAGAAAACCTTAGAGAAGGGTACATGCCCACCCAGAGCCTAACTCCTCCCCCAACTTCTAGACCATATTCCAGGAGCCTGGGACGCCAGAATATCCTACCCAGACCTCTCTGAGCCACTTCCACAGCCTGAAAGGTGAAGGAGGGGGGTTCTTCCTCACATCTGGCCCCCAAGGGGTATTACAGAAGCATAAATGCACCTCTGGACTCAGGAGTGTTCAAAGGCCGCTATCTGTAAGAGGCTGTGAATAGAGATTGGGCTTGGAGGTTGGGGTGTCCACCCACAAGCACTCAAGGCCCCTTTCTGCACAGGATGGATACAGGGGTGGGAACAAAAGGCGTCCAGGGGCCCACACTGCCTGGTCAGTCACATTTTGGCACAGAATCCCAAGGAGTCCAAGAATCCTGGCCTTCCGGTCCATTATGAAGGCAAATTTGTTTCAATTAGATGTCAGACCTTATTTATCTTAACAATTTGTTGGCCTTACTTATCACTTTTAAATGTTTAGACATACGGCAGCCATACCTTCATAGGTACTCTTGCCCTGGGCCCTACTAATGTTAGGGATGGGCCTGGTTCAGAGCAGGGGCCTCAGAGACAGAAAGAAGCCAGACAGGTTTGCAGCCTGGCCAGTTCCCAGCTTTGAGTTCATCCCATCTGCTGGGAATCCCCAAACTGTTTTAACATACGCGGTTAAAAACAAAAGTTTAAAACACTTTTTCATGTGCAACTTCTCTGTATGAAGCCCTGTGACTTCCCCTGCTTTCATTTAATTTTCCCAACAACTGTACTAAATGAGCATGGATATTTCCTTTGATTAGGAAATAAACTAAGGTCCTCAGATATTAAGTCACTTAAAGTCATATTGTTGTTGGTAACAGGAGAGTGACAATTCTTTTGAAACTGTCTTAAGAGGCAACCATCATTTTGTGTGTTTTTTAAAACAGATTTTTATTTAAAATAAAATAGGGAGAGAGAGAGAGAATCATTGATCAACTGCCTCCTGCACGCTCCACACTGGGGATTAAGCCTGCAATCCAGACATGTGCCCTGACCAGAATCGAACCACCGCCTTCTTGTTCATCGGTCAATGCTCAACCACAGAGCCACATGTCTTTAATAAAAACTTACAGTCCTCACAGTCATCCTCTGAAGAGGAAGTTATATAAATTGCCCAAGAATACATAGTAATACATTGCAGTAATAGCAATACCATGGCAGAGATGGGACATAAGCCTTGGTCTGGATCAGCCCAAAGTCCTCCTACTCTCCACTACTACCTTTGTTGGTAGAAACCAGTAGACTTCAAGAGAAACTTAACAGTTGAATCAATCACACTGTGTGCAAGGGGCCATTCAACACTGACCAAGCACCCTTTGCATATTTCCATAAGAGAGAAATACCCATGTTCCTGGGAAAAGCCAGCATGGCGTGTAATATATCTGGAGTTCCCTGATATGAGCTTTGATGGGAAGAACTACTGAAACCCACTGAAGAACTGCTGAACTCCAGTCATTTCAGAAAACTGACTAGGGAAGCATGATGTGATCCCAACCGCACAGAGCTGGGAGCCTGGGGACACCTGGGTTCATGTCGTGGTTCTGCCCCTAACCAGATGTGTGACCAGGGGCAGGTAGGGCTTAGATAGGGGACTAAGCCTCATCGGCTGGTGACAGCTGCTTTGCGCTCCGGCCCATAGACATCATGAGGCTGTATAGGTCATTCTTACCAGACTAATTGAGAGAAGCTTCCTTCCAATTCACTAACAACAGAAACTAAACCGAAACTAAATGAAAGACAATCTCTGCGCAGGTCAGCTCACAGAACCGGAGGCGGCCTGAGTCACTCTGTGGAGGAGACATTTCTCCCACACCACCATTCCCTTCTCTCCATTCCACCATAGAGGCAAGGTCTTCCTAAAGCTTTCTGTGACTGTTCATGCACTTGACCCCACACTCTGCCTAAACCTCACTCATCGCCTGCTTCCTTCCTAGGCAGCTGGCAGCAGGAAGGTGTCATCATTCCTGTTTGTGAGACGGAGAAGACAAGACTCAAAAGTCACACCCTTAGGAACAATGGCCTCAAGCTTCTAGAGCTTCATGGCCTACAGTCTTACAGCCTTTACTGTTTCTTGTGGTGCACTTATATATGGAAACCACAGGGAGAATAGCCAGTTCCAGTGACCCTTCAGCTCTCCTTCAGTGGATGTTGTGATATCACTCTGGGACAAATGCTCAGGCTCTTTTCCTGTTGGAATAAGACTTGTCTCCTAGGACCGTGGTTGGAAAACTGAGGCTAGCGAGCCACATGTGGCTCTTTGGCCCTTGAGTGTGGCTCTTCCACAAAATACCATGGCCCGGGCGAGTCTATTTTGAAGAAGTGGCATTAGAAGAAGTTTAAGTTTAAAAAATTTGGCCCTAAAAAGAAATTTCAATAGTTGTACTGTTGATAATTGACTCTGTTGACTATTGAGTTGGCTGACCACTGTCTTAGGAGTCTGTGATCACTAAATTAGTTACGCATCGAAATACTTACAGCC